CACAATTTTCCCTTACAAAGAAGCAAAAAAACTTACATTCTAGGAACTTGAAACAGATTATTATCTCCTTGTGTATTGTTGCCATCCGTCTCCATGTTGTACCCACTGACGTAACTGCTGACCGATGAAGTTGTAGAAACAGTAGATTCAGTAGTCCTGTGAGAAGTTGTTCGTGCTGTACAAAAAGAGGCAAATGCTGAATTATAGACAACTGAATTCAAATAGGTAATCTAAAGTTATGCAACACAATAAAACATATACAAATCCTAAACATTCTTGCTATGGAAACAGGCACAGTAAGTTGATGTAAATATCCAATTTATATTTCTGATCTTTTATGTCACCCATCTCCTCCTTGTGCATAGTAAACCTACAGATTGCAGTGTTTAAATACTTTTTTAATACACAATGATTACAGCTGTAAAAATATATGGGGGAAATCAATGAATTACATATTTTATGACAATGAGGGAAATGATCATTGGGCCCCTCTGACAATTGCCTGCTCATGTGACATACAAATAATTCAGTACATTAGTTGATCTTACTACATTGTATTACTGCTTATATATGGTCTAAAATATTCATCTTCGAAAAATGCAGAAATAATCCCTTGGCAGTGATCTCCTTATGCCTTTTTGTGCCATTCACAATTTTTCACACTGCCCCCTATATATACTGTATATTAATGTAATAATTCCGTCAATGGCTGATAATATTGTATGGGTAGGGAAGACTATCTATAGGGTGAACTAAGCTTTTCCTCATTACACATTTGTTGTATTCATACTAGGTTGTCAATGCAAAAGTGCTGCCTTTAAAGTTTTCAGGTTTATATTAATTTATAGAATAAATCGAAATTAAAAAAAAAAAAAATCATCCTGTGGATTTGTTGACACACCCTGTGAACAGTTCTTTTATTTCTTAAATATGTAAAATCAATTTTGTGGTTTTTTTGTGCTTCATAATTTGGGCCTTTATGGTCCAAACCTCAGAGTTACATTTTAATTTCCTGTGCGCCATATATACTGTCCACAAACTTTAAATCACAACTCCAGCCAAAGAAAAAAAATACGTTTTTGGTAGTGTAAGGTTGATAGAAAATTTATGTCAGGTTTTATTGCCATCTGACTCTCACCACTTACTGTCTCTTTGATAGCAATAAAAGAAAAATGATGATTAGGTGTCACAAGGACAGGAAGACACAGACAAAAAAAATGTGTTTAAAGTTCCCTCTCTTCAAGAAATTTGTAGCCCCCTTTTTAACCACTTGGGAAAGGGAGTGAGGAAAAATATCCACAAAGTGGACGCATACTGCAAAACATGCTCTTCATGTACATATGGTGAGATTGGCTTGTAGCTACATGCTGTTAGTAGATATATTTTCTTGAAGATCTCCAGAGCATAGATCATTTTTTAATTTGTCTTATTTTTTTTAGGAAAATCTTTTTTTCTGTTTCCAAGTTGCCCATTTCTCTGCCATGCTTTTTAAAGGCAAGAACTATATGATGCTTTTCTGAGGAGTTACTGCAACTTATCAGTAGATCTCATTTCATGAATATACATAGGGATATATTTTATAAAGCAGTGAATGTGACATTTACCAGATATTTGGTGCGTATTTATCTCCCTGATGCATTTACTGTATTTTAAATTGCAGTGATTGATTCATCTGCAGTGAATGTATGGCAAATGTCAGATTCAGTGACTCATAAATATATTGCCTAGATTTATTTTAGAAATAGACTCTTTTTTGTTTATCTATAATTATGTGAGATGTTCTGCCTTAAATTGTTTATACATAAAAAATTGGTCATTTTTGAGTGTGCTTTGTTTTGGATAAAATGAGGAAGTGCTAAAATCATTGTTAGTTTGAGAAAATTTCCACCCACTTCTAGTCAAGTGATGGAAAATCTTTCCACTGGGGAGATACAGACAAGAAACAAAAGATAATTTTTAGTTAAATGGGGAAGGATTAGAATTCCCGAATATACATACTATTGCGCAAACGTTTTAGGCAGGTGTGAAAAAATTCTGTAAATTAATTCTGTAAATTAATTTTTAACAAAATGGAAAGTAAATTAGTAGAAAAGCTATTCAAATAAAATCAATATTTTGTGTGACCACCCTTTGCCTTTATAACAGCATCAATTTTTCTAGCTACACTTGGACACAGCTTTTGAAGGGACTTGGCAGGTAGGTTGTTCCAAACATCTTGGAGAACTAACCACAGATCTTCTGTGGATGTAGACTGCCTCAAATCCTTCTGTCTCCTCATGTAATCCCAGACAGACCCGATTCCACAAGGCTGGTTGCAACAAAAAATGCCCTCTCTACAGCTCTGTTTTCTGCAAACCCCAAGGCTCGAACAGGAAGGAGGGGGTATGTGACAGCCCCAGCTGGTAAAGGGCACAGTCCAAGGTGGATGTAAGTACTACCCAGAATACTATGTTTTATTTGGTAATGAGTTGTCTCTCGGCCTTGTAGTGCAGTAGACAGGGGGTTAATGGATGGGCACTGGCACCTCCTGGCTGAGAGTAGGTGCTGACTACCTGGATCAGTGAGCAGACAGGAGGCTACAAGACTCATGGTTCAGTTTTTGTTCTTATAACCCCTGCAAGGGTAGACTTTGTGGTTCATTTTGTTCTGCGGAGATGTAATAACAGGCATGAAGCCCTTAAATGCATTTTGGTTGTCTGGTCTTAAAGCTGGAAATCTATCATGTTTTTCTGTAACGGAGCCATATCTTTTTAGTTTATATTTTTTCATAAATATATGTTGTTTTTTTTAAATATTATTTATTTTTCTGTTTCCTAATTGAATGGACTGTGTTATGCTCATGCTCTGACTTAAGTTCTCCGAAATATTTACAGGCTTAAAGGAAGCTTTCTTAGATTTCAGAAAAATGTTGATACTTCATTTTGGTGCTGTAGATGTGCTCTGTCAAAAGATATTTTATTTTGAACACAAACACAGTTTTCAATGAACAGATTTCTTGTGTACTTCAAAATGTGTGCGGATTTCAGCTTCACACGCATGTCAGTGCCTTTTTCTAAATACATTTTTTATTTCTTCTCTGTCAAAATTTGTGGGGGTTCTCTGTCTGGCCTTTGAAGCTGACTCCAGTTTTCTGTTCTGTCACTGCAGCTTTTGAAAAGACTCTAAAGTATCCACCTATTTCATTGTTGACACATCAGCCCAGTCTATTTTGTAGAACCTCCACATTTAAAACTGTGTGATGCTTTGATGTGTCCTGGCATACCTAGTATATTTTTAAATGTCTTATTTTTCATTGTCCTTGTTCTCTCTGCCCTGTCCTGAATCCAGAGTATTTCTAGTGCTGATGCTACTAACTGACATTAAAACAATACCCAATGACCCAAAACACACATAATGTTATATTTTATGTACCTAGATACTTTTCAAGATGTGTATTCAGTTAAAAAAAAGTATTTTAACCGTGTAAACCCATATTCAGAAAACTGGCAGATTTATATGAGCTAAATGGGCAGATAAGGTAGATTCTCACTGAACTGATATTATGTATTTGTCTATTTTACATACAAAAATATATTAAAATTAATAAGATATATTTCCCTTTCTGTACTATTTTATTGTGAAGTTAACTTTGCTATGTTATAAAAAATTGGGACACCTCCCAGAAAAAAAGATACATTTACAAACAGAAGTGGTTAAAAAAACACCTAAATATATTATCCATATGAATGTATGCAAATCCTGCATAAATAGTATTTGCCCATGCGTATTAAGGCTTAGAGCATACGTTCACCTTTGGGAACATGTTATATGTTCCACCCGTTTTAAGGGTGGAATGTGTAACATTTTCCTGGTCCAGCAGAGGCCTAGTGATCCGAGCCACCTGTGTGACAGCATTATGGGGAGAAGTTTCCCATACCAGCTGTCACTTTTTCAAAAAGGGCGCTGCTGTGCAGGGCTCTGTCCACATGCCTGCATCAGTCATTCACATAGTTCTGTGAAAAAATCAAGTACAACTACCAACATCCTTTGCAGATGTCATCTTATAGTTCTCAATGAAGTACCATGGCACTGTTGAGCTCTGTGGTAGTTCATTGATTCTTCCTGTCAGTTTGAAACTGCCTGCCCATAAGATGTATTTGGAGTTTTGCATAAGATGTATTAGGAGTTTTGCATGGCACCAGTGATCAGTCGGTCATTGGTACAATGCTTTGCAGGCTCCTAAAAAAAATAGTAAATGCACATTTTTTTGCCTGCAAAAAAATGTGCATTTATTATTGTTTTATAAAAAGGTGAACGTATCCTTTAACATTCACAGTGATGTAAAACCCCTCTGATCTTTTACAGTCCAGCTCACAGGCTGGGCTGTGACATTGTTTGCAGTATTTTGTAAACACTGTATCAAATTTAACTCCAATTTACAGAAAAACCAGTAAGAACTCATCAGTAATAGCATACCAAAAGTGGAGAGGTGGCCTCAGTCTGTGCAGGCAAAAACTATGTTCTTTAAGATTTGCCATAAGAAATAAATACAAAAAATATGAACAGAACTCCTATGTATGCTTTAAGGGTGGAATGTGTAACATGTTCCTGCTCCTGCAGCGGCTCAGTGATCCGAGCCCCCTGTGTGACAGTATTATGGGGAGAAGTTTCCCATAGCAGCTGTCACTTTTTCAAAAAGGGCTCTGCCGTGCAGGGCCCTGTCCACATACTTGCATCATTTGTTCACAGAGTTCTGTGAAAGAATCAACTACAAGTACCAACATCCTTTGCAGATGTCGTTTTATAGTTCTCAATGAACTACCAAAGTGGAGAGGTGGCCTCAGTCTGTGCAAGCAAAAACTATGTTCTTTAAGATTTACCATAAGAAATAAATACAGAAAACATGAACAGAACCCCTATGTATGCTCTTCAAAAGTGGGCCTTCTGAAAATACATTTTACTATAGGGAAACAGCAATCAGTTAGTAAATTTTATGACAAATAGTACTAATATTCCTTACCTTCAGCCTTGACGGACCCATCGGACATCACCTTCTTGAGTGCAAGCTGGCTTTGGTCTTTGCTGTCATTTGCTGGTGAAGGCAGATTGTCAGACTGAGTTCTTTGAATTGGGAGTACTCCTGCTATGCTGTGTCTATGCTGCTTCCTGGCATAATTACACTGACCGCTTTTATGTGCTGCTGTGGCAGTGTGGGTGAAATGGAAACCCATAGTATGTATCCTCAGATGGAACCAGCTTAAATGTTATTCATGCAAACAGAAGTGTTCTTTTCTGTATTCAGATAGGTAGTGTTTTTAACATCAAAGAGACACCACATGCACAGCATTAAGGGGCTTTAAAACTGGCTGTTTCTTTTTATTGGTTTAAAATGTTTCCCACCATGGTTTTAATCCTGTGAGAAGACATGCAATAACAAATTTCTGTGACAAACACAAGTATGTCTCTTAGAAAGTTTTCATTCACTTAAGCAAAAAACTCTGGGCTCCTGATTGTAAGAACAAGTCATATTCCATAACATTACAATAGCGCTGTTAAGGAAATGGATTTCCTGTTTTCTTTTAATGCATAAATATAAATAGCTATAGCATAAGGTTAAAAACAAAAGCAGATTATTATTTACAACAAAGGTGCTTGGTTTAACATAAGAAATCATAGTTTCAGTGTATAATATCGCTGTCTCTATAATTTGTCTTTCTTTACATATTTGAAAATAACAGGCATATAATCAGAAATCTGTTGCATAGTCCACTGTGACATGGATTATAGCAATGATTGGTTTGTAATTTTAACTGTGAGTCCAGACATTTAACTATACTGAGCAGAGTTAGGTGACTATACAGAAAATATTGCCCCTATCTTCCTTATTTTGCCAACTACATTTTCATAAATAGGAATACCCTGATGTAAAATTATAAAACATGTTATGTCCCACAGTTAAAGTCTACAGTGGCCAGATTGCCTTACTGTACATGACTACAAATATATGCTTTAGCAAATGCAAACAATTTGAGGGAATTACAAAAGAAATCCTGCCTCTAACTACTGTCTCATATGGCCAACTAAAGGGTTTTATGAGAACATATTTCCATGTAACTAGTACCACTAAGTATGGCCTATACTTTCCTTTATTTCAAATATTATCATATACATTAAGCCCTTACATCAAAATGTGTATTACATTTTACAGAACTGATATTATTTTTTACAATACTGCCTTTTTAAAAAATATCCAACTGACACTTGAATAATAATATGTACATTATATTTAATGACTTTTTTTAAATTCATAAAACAGGTTAATTTACAATGTATGTCTTTGCAAAACTCCCTTAAACTGACAACTGTTAGTTGTGAGCAGCCTCAATCTATTTTTGCAGTGTAACATAGCACTGGTATGCACTAATATGTTTAATAAGATAATAAATATTTCTGTTAAAAAAGCTAAGTTTTAACCATTATGGGACATGGTTCAAGCCCTGTACATACAGTATCACACTGTGGATTTTTTTATTAAGTAAAATGTACCCTTTATTTGATAATTTTCTCCATGCCTATCTATAGAGCTTCTTTTTCATCTGTACCACAAACAAAAAGTTTGATAAGATAAACAATCTAGACTCTACAGTAATTCTACAATTCCAAAAAACATAAATACACTTATTTTTTACATATTAGGAATATATGTATGAGCATGCAGTGACATTACGCATTCACTTAGAATGGTATGAGAATTTATCTTTACAATAATGCGATTTGGTGTTATGACTGGTCTGGTGTAGCCAATGGGTATACTGTAGTGATCACATACATAGGTTTTCTTAAAATATTTGTCAATGAATAAATGTTTAAATGTAGATGAGGCAAAAGGGAATATGTATGTATAAAATAAATCTCTCAACTTTATGATTCTCAAACTAATTTAAAAAAACTGAAATGAAAACTAAACCCACAGAAGTTGAACAAGAAATCAACACTATGGGGCATAACAGACAATATAGGAGATGATAACACTTGAATGGTAGTATGAACCAATGAGGAAACAGCCAGTTTCATTAAGTATCAGTAAACAAAAAGTTAGGTAACATATATTAAATGTGGACAAAATTTTCACAATAAAGGACATTTAACAAGGTGAACAAGTAGTGACGACAAATAATGGTCAACAAGGGGAAACAGCAGGAAAAGGCAACAGATGAACATTAAGCTGCCATGCTGAGGAATTTATTTGCGTCTTTTACTTGGTTGAAGGCGAAGCTGTTGGACAGCTGCTTCGGCAGCAGCGATGGCTGCTCCAGCATCTTCAAGGTGGGTCTGAGTGACACTGCCTTTACTTTGGCTACGTGATGGTCCATGTGAACGGAGGTGTCCCTCAGAGGATGACTTTGAACTACCAGGGCTGCTATGAGATTTCTCTATAGTGGGAATCTGCATATCTAGTAGTAGAAAACAATAAAACAGGTTTAGTATCGCATACTTCATTTTGTTATTCCATATCTACAAAAATATACATACATACATATATTGTAATATTATATTTTTTTTAATCCTCAAAATTGAATGGTACGTGTATCAATTTTCATTGTGAATATCTATGTAATTGATATGGGTTGTACTAAGAAACTCCCAAGTTCTGCTGCTGTTGAGCTGGGAGTAAGGTATCTTGCTGTAGGCACACTGGGTGATAGCCACTGGAGTCTGTTCCAGCTCAATACAAATGCTATTTTGAAAGTTAGGTAGCACTTTGATGATGTCACTTTCTTCAAACATCTTTATTGAATGGATCAATACACATCCAGATCCCCACCAAGGATACTCAGTCCTGTAAAACATTTCACCCATATGGGTTTAATCATAGATCTCTACAATTAAACCCAAATGGGTAAAATGTCTTAGAGGCATTGGGTCTCTTAGGTGAAGGTCTAGTTGTGTATTGTTCTGTTCAGTAAAGATTTTTGAAGAAAGTGATGTCATTCTAGTGCATACTTGAATTCATCATAGTGATATGGACCGTATTTTACAATTATTTTGCTATAATATACAATTGTGCATTAGGGATGAATGGAATGGGGGTTAGTTACTGAAACTCTAGAGAGTGCAAAATCTGGTGCAGCTCTGCATTTAAAGTAATCAGCTTCCAAGTTTTTTTGTTAAAGCTTAATCAAATAAGCTGAAGTTAGATGCTTATTGGCTACCTTACACACCTGCACCAGATTCTGAGTACTCCAGTTTTAGTAAGTCTCTACCCAATGTGTCTGGGTTAGATTTGCCAAACGTTCAGTGAATCCTGTTTGAAATCTGGAAAACTCAAGCTTAGTAGTGAATTACAATGATATATCTAAGGGGGTAAATCCTTTTAGTACATTTTGGCAATTTTTAGGTCTAATAGGTAAACTACTTTCAAAAACATAGATAGATAATAGCTGCAGATTGAAATTGGCCAGTAGCTTGCTGAAACTGCTTCTTACTGATGTAAAACGGTCCCCCCAGTGGCTAAGTGCTGGAAAACACTTTGTAAGAATTAAGAGACTGCAGGTGATGCAGAATAAAACTGGACAACAGAATATTTTAATCAAGGGGAGAATTGGTTAAATGTGGCAGGTAATAATAGCTGTTTTATCAGAAGAATCAAGAGAGTGCAAATGACACAGCAATGTACAATTGGAAAGCGGCAGTATAATTTTAAATAGTACAGCTAGGCCCAAATGTAACAACAACAACAACAAGCACAGGCTGGGGCTTTACTACAAGAATTAAGATACAGCAGAGGACACAACAGTGTACAACTTGCCAGCAGGAGGACAGTTTTAATTAGAGATAATAGGTCTAACACTCAGTTCTTGCACTTGCTTTTTTACACCTTTCAAATGATGCAGTGATATTCTGCAAACAAAAGGCAACTTAATGAACAGACAAATGCTTACTTAAAAAGGCTCTATCACATAAATAAAAAAAAATCACCAAAATAAATGAAAACCCTAAAATACATTCCCTGAATACCAACCCCTAAAACAAAAGCACATTTTTTAATGTGAGGTCTTGCAAAATTAAAAATAATTAAATAAAAGTTCTAACTAAAAAGGGCCTATTAACATACAATAAAAACCAACATTTTCCCAGAATAATTTCCTTTGAAACAAAATTTTAAGGAAAGCCTTGATGAAAAAAAAAAAAAATGTTTACCTTTTAATAAAATTCCCATCAACATAAAATAAAACCCTGAGGCCTCGTCCACACCATACGCACCGAAAAGCTGATGGAAACTGATGCACAGATTTCACTTGCGGAGACATCGGTTTACACCAGTTTTCATGTTTGAGTCAATTAGTTTTATACATGTTTCAGATTCCTGTGCAGAACAAATCTGCATGTCATACTAGTGTTGTGTCATGAACAGGACACATAGAAAACAATAGATTTTGATGTGCCCTTGCAGAACGCATACAGAAAAGCCAACATCTCTGCACCATGGTGTGAACAAGCCCTACAAAAACAGGCCATTTTTTTATAGGAAGCCTTGCAGCTGACCCCAAATCAACCACAAAACAAAAAGAAATACAAAAAAAGCCACCAATAATATGAAAAAAAAAAGACAAAGGGGTTGATTGCCCAAAAAGCTAGCAAATAGAATTAAAGTACAGTTTCCTGGCACTAATGTCTCCCTATGTTTGTCAGCCTTCCTTGTGCTTTCCCTACAGAAGCTTCCAATACACTGACATCATGGCTGCTCTGTGCCCTCCTTTTATAGTGAGGGTATTCTATATCTTCTGACCAAAGTGCAAACACAACGCAGAGCATTCAGGTTTGAAAAACCCACAGGATTCACTCCTGTTAGATAATGAGTTTATGTGAAATCTCCATTAAATGGTGTAAATAATGTTATAATTACAAGTATATTTTAGTTAGATGGAAATATGCAGTATTTAAATCATTGAGTGTTTTGCAGCATCAAACTATTCCTAGCTTCCATACTGGTGTAAATGTATATAGTTTTCCACTATATATGTTCTAGTCTTTTGTTGTCCCTTTATCACATCTCACATGAGCTGTAAACAGCAGCCTTCTTTGAACTTCCAACCAGGCTGTGCCCAATATACATTTGCTAGGTACAGTGACTAATTAGGAAACAGTATATTAGCCACAGTTCAGAAAGGAGGGGGGGAATAAAATGCTTTGTCACCAAGCTGTGGGGCTCTTGTGTTGGGACACACAGCAGGCAGCATGACCAGACCAGAAGCTGAGAGGTAAACTAACTTCATACTTGTACTGTACATTGTATTGTAAATATGGTTTTGTGGGTCATTTGTAAATATTGCAGAAGTCAAGGGACCTAAACTGTACATTGTGTTGTAGATACTGTTTAGTGTGTAATTTGTATATATTATGTAACTCTATCAGTAAATGTATATTGCAGATGGAACTACCCTTTTGTGTAAGAACTCTCAGATCTAGCGGTGTATATGTAAATACTCCTACAGGGATTGGGGCATATTCACAAATACACAGAACTTAGGCAACACTCCAAACCCATGGTAGCAGTGAACCCATACCTCATCCCTATTCTCTTATGCACAGTTTATGTATTGAAAGCAAATGCAACCATTTGTTATTGTATATACATTTGTATATATACTTATATGTTTATGTCTCCAATAATGTCTTCAAACAATACATCTAGATGGGAAAGGATACACCACATATAGCTCCATTCAAAAACTAGATACTGTAGTGGTACTGTACTGCAGGTACTGTAATGGCTTGTTGAGTCATTTCTAAATACCAACACCATTTAGTGAACATGCATTCTGTGAGGAGGTAGATTTACTAAGGACTACCAAACATCTGATTAGCTTTCAGTAACCAGCTACACAGGTCCACTAGCCCCTTTACTGCATAGCAAAACTCTCTAACTAGTATGAACATTAATCAGGCAGAACCCTGCTGTGTGTCTAGTTCCCATCCAAAGTGTGTATTCCTGCTACATTTATAAACTACCAGGTTCAAATACTACACAGAGGCAATAAAAGAATATATGTTTTATATATTTTATTTTTACTTTAATTTGAGTATTACAATGTGTTACCTTTAGATGGATCTGGAAAAATTCCATGACTTCTGCTTTTAATGACGGATGGCTTTGGTGACTGCTGACTGCTTTGGCCAGAGTGTTTTGAGTGGTCAATACTTTCACTTTGCTCCTTCAATGGGTACCATCGTGGCATATTGTCGAGAAAGGCAGCATTTGATAAATCTATCAACACCTAAAAGCAAAGGGATTTTTATACATTTGAAACATTTTCATAAACATATAAAATATAAAAACTACAGTATATTTATGTACTGATTAAATTACCAAATCGTACTTGTGCTAGTGGTATGTTTTATTTTTAGTATTTAGTATTTATCTGAAAAACACACTTCATTCATTAATTACAGCTATACATTGCAATATAGATATTGCATATTTATTTGAAAGTTTGCAAATTATCATTTGGAAAAATTCTAATTATTCCAATGGGTTGTATTCAATACAATTGCAAGAAATTGGGCAGATATAAAAGACGGGACAATATGACAAATGAGAACAAGATTAAACTACTTTACTTTTTTAGCTGTCAGTTTTTAGGACTTTTCATCCCATGTAAGATATGACAAAGAAAATGGTTGAAACCAGTTTTCAATTAACGAGGTTGCATAGTTTGTGAACCACTTTTATCATGTGTCAATGACTTACCTCACCAAGAAAATCATTTGAGGAGAACCTGTCATAATCCCACACAGTAACTTCTAAAGTTTTCTTCTTTAGCTGCATTAAAATTCAAAACACGGTAAATTCAATTTTTCACGTTGTCATAACCAATCTATCAGTTTCACATGCAGATCATTAATGGTATTTAAAAAAATTGATTGTTAAAAGACATTAAACATTTTCTATATTTTCAAGAACACTGTAGTGTTAATGCTTGTCAAATGACATAATGATAACATTGATTTTAAAATGTTACTTTGTTATATAAAACTTTTAAACTGATTCACTTTCTAATCTTCAATTTGCAGTTATATACTGGGGGAGATTTACTGAAGCTGGTTCATTCAGAATCTGGTGCACTTGTACATGGTAGCCAATCAGCTTCTAACCTCAGCTTGTTCAATTAAGCTTTAGCAATAAAACCTATAAGTTGATTGGTTTCCATACAGAAGTGCATGAGATTCTGAGTGAACCAGCTTTAGTAAATAAACCCCACTGTTTACATATTCTTTCATTACGTTTCATACTCATTTTGATGGAAAGCTTTGTTTTTTATTCTTGGTAAACTATTATTGTCAAGATTCTTCTATGGCATATATATAATTAAATAAATAATACAGAAACACATCAGGCGCTTGGCAAAAATCAGCCTGATAAAGGCTACCCAGCTGAACAGCTAAGTAAACGTGCAAATTACAGCAAAGAACACAAATACCAGATTGTATTCTACATCCAGCTCCCATGTGAGCAAATCTTAACTAATAATGAAGAAGCAAAGATACCAATGTGGGTAATTCCAAAAATATTAAAGCAGGTCAGCCATAATCCTTGTTACATTGATAGGTTAAAAAAAACAAATACGCCTTACAACACATACAGCTTCAAATCTATGAGTTTCTGCTTGGAGCAGTAGCACTTCAAAGCGATCAATTGGACACAATTAAATATTGTACGATCATGCTACATTGATTGCTGATGCATGCTACTTGTGCAGCTTATTCCATTGGGAGACATTTCTTCCATCTTGTTTAAAGATGAACTCTAGATGTGATTGTTATTTCATACCTTCATTGGAATAGCTTCAACCAATGTAAGTACTGTATTCATTTCTAATATCTGAGGGGCCATTGGGAAAGCTGACAATCACTGTGGTAGTCTGTTCTACTACATTGATAGCTGCTGTTTTCCATGTCCTGTGCTGAGTATCTTTCCCTTTGCAAACTGACCACAGGGGGTCACTTGTTGGGTTCTGTCACCATTCACAGATAGGCCTGTATGTTTTCAATGAATATTAGATGTTCTTTGATTGTGCAAGGTGGAGATTGTGATATCACCACCCCTCTTCTCAACCACATCCAATTAGAGAATGCCTTGTAGTTATTTCAAAAAAATACAAGGTATTCTGTGATTGGCAGCAGTGCCAAGCAAACCCTGGTTTAATTAAAATAAAGAAGAGTTAATACTTACTGTACCTGCTCTGTGCAGTGGTATTACACACAGAACAGTTCCTTACCTTTTCTTTGGTGGTCTCCTGCCAGTGCTCCTAGACGTGTGCAGAATGGAAAAATTTGTTTCGCTTTGGATACATTTGTTATGTTACTAATGTTGCTTTGTGAATTTATTTTGGAAATCATTTAGTTTCATTTCATTTATTCATTTTCTAATGAATTCCAAATTTTCAGAATGATTTTATTTAGAATCAGTCGAAAATTTATCGACTGATCCAAATTCTGTGTGAAGAATAGCTTGTTGTTAAGGTCGGCCGCCGTGCCTTTAACAACCGATGACTCCTCAGATGTCTGTGGTTTCCCCACTGACAGCTGAATGTAAAATAAAAGAATTGGTGGCAATGAAAAAAATAAGAACAAAAACAGCGAGGTGCCCCCCTCTGAAATCCATACCAGACCCTTATAAGAGCATGCAGCCTGGCAAGTCAGGAAAGGTGGGGGGACAAGAAATCACCCCCCCCCTTCTGAACCATACCAGGCTACATGCCCTCAACATGGAGGGTGCTTTGTGGTAGTGGGGCTCCTCCCCCCTATAGCACCTTGTCCCCATGGTTCAATTTCAGTTCCATCTAAGCTGTTTGTTTTTTTCCTTTTTCTTATCTGCGCACCCCACATAACTATAGAGTCACACATGTGGATGTATACACAGTGGTAAATGACAGGCTGCTCCCACCATCCTCCTCCATGTCCTCATATTGCTAGACACTATGGGGCTGAATATATGTTGATGATTGATGCAGGCTTGACTTTCCTCTTAGTCCAAGCACATACACACGTTAGACACAGTCTGGAGTGATATGACACAGCCTGTGATTGCAGAACTTCCTCCAGATATCTTTACAGTATGAACTAAGTGAATGCTATTGTCAGTCAACTTAAATCCCACCTACACCATGTTACTGAAATATAATAATAAATATTTGCTTCGAAATATATAATTGTATAAAGCTTTACAACACTTTGATGCTATTAATTATTTATTTTAATCCTCTATTCTGAAAGGTTTTTTTATGTCAGTGCTGTGCAGACACAGATTCATATAGAAGAAGACTACCAGAAACTCCTCCCTCAGAACTTTACCTGAGGACAGGAAAAACCAGAGAAACATCATGTGACCTCTGAGCAGCTATAATTAAATAAGGTACTCAGATGATTTTGTATATTTAATGAAATACAGCGGCATGATCTTTATAGCTAAATAGAAGGGATGGTGGTAATTAAACATTGTATGTTTAGTATTGCTTTAGGGTAAAAATGTTTTAAATTTAGAACCACTTTAGGTCAGCACAGCTTCACCCCATTTACTAAACTTTACTTTGCAAAATGAACATGCACTACATCAACCCTTATTGCACCAGTTAACTGCTCCATTTCAAGTTGTGTAGATGCTCCAACAAATCCAACAAACCTGCTCAATGGAGATGTTTTTGTAAATCACTGTCTGATTCCATTCTGGGTTTAAACTTTTCTGTACATATTTTGTTCTTCTTTTATATTCAGCACTGAAATAGAAAATGTGGCAATAAGATCGTAATATAGAACAAGATACATGCTTCAGAAACAGAGGTAGCATCTTGTCAATTGTAAGAAGCAGTAATGTTATCTTTAAGAGACCAGATTTCATATTTAATTTCGTAATTTTAAGATGCATGACATAAGCCTGCAGTTCCCTACCAAAAAATGTAACACATCTGTGGTGACATCACCACACTAGTCGTCTATTGACACTTCCTGCAGCCCTGTAACTGAAGGTCCATACCTCAGTATGGACCAGTGGCTGCAGAAAGAGTCTGCTGGAGCCTGTGCAATACACCTACTTTCCATGAATCACAGTGCAATGCTTTCCAAGCTCCTAAGGAAACAAATTATAATAAATGAACAAATATGTGGGATTTTATTTTTTTTTTAATAAAAAGTTGACACCAATTCATGCAGTGACCATAAAAATGGTTACCTTAATAGTCATAATACACCCTTAATTTCAATCGGGGAAAATAAAGTATAACTAGAAGTGTTAGTTGAGGCTGGATATGATTGTAACAGCTAGAGCAAAAGCATGATGTGGATGCTCCAAACTAGAACTCAAGAGGTGCATGTAGAAGCATCAACAGGAGTTGTGAAGATATTTGAATTTGTAAGGCACCACTCATTAAGGCACCAAACTCTTACTGAAACATCATTTTACTTAAAGCATATAATCCAGAATACTGTTTGCACAGCTGGGCTGAATTAATTACAAAATAGTAGTCATATGTTTGAGGCACAAATGGCTACTAGTTAATTACTAAACTCCACTTTAATTTAACTCACCAAGGGACTACTACAATTGTAACTAGTTTGAAGACACTGTTTAATACTACATCAGTCCTTCTTAAGGTTTTGGAATGCAAACAGCAAAAATCACTTGTACATTTTGAACTTTTTGTGAAAATTATAATATAGACTGATGCATCCACACTAAAGGAAATGTAGTGTGGACCGGAATAACCAAACAGATATCTACTTTTATTTCCAAAAAAATGTAGGTTGTATTTAGTTTTTTTGTACTTTCCTTTTTCGCTTGTTTGTGTAAAGTATCTGATGTGTATGTACATGTAAAAATGGTCGGCCTGTTTATGACTTCTGTACTGGAACATCTTTGGAGAGTTCTAGAGGTGGTTTTCATGTCTCACACACAATCTAAATTATACATTTATATACAGTTATGTTTGCAGTTATGACAGTAACTGCAAATGTAACAGTGTCTAAAGTACAAACAATGTGAGTTTTTTCAAAATGGATAATATAATAACTTTACAAGCTGTTAGCAATAATACCAATAACATTTGTGTTTCATTGATTTTCTGAATGCTCAAAATAAACCTTGGATTATAATAGTAAATTATTCAACTCTACCTGGCATTCTGGACAACCATGACTTGGCTGCAAGGACCCAGTTTCGAGACACAGTGCAATCATTACACAAAGATGTGAAAGCACAGGAAGCAACCAAGATAAAACATAAGATACACATAAAAGACATAACACAAAGATTAAATGCATACAGTGTTTTTGACAAAACAAAAATGGCCTGCAGCACATTGATCAGGAATGTGTTACAGGCACAAACAGTCCAGTGAAAATACTAAAGTAAAAGCCAACACAGACATACAGCAAGCACAAGGAAAATTACAATTTATAATCCTATAATTGGTTCAAACATGCATTTATTCCAAATAATGATTATTGTTTTTCTAGCAACTATTGTTTTACAAAATCATTCAGAGGTAAAAAATGATCACACTTAACATTTGAAAGCAAGTTTATATATCCTATGTATCACGTATAGCTCTTTTTATTTCACATTATTTGAATGAAACAAAGGTTCAATTCAGTTCTCAAGAAACTGATACATAGCTGCAATGTGCCACCACATAGTGACAAAACTGAACCAATTCCAGAAAATATAAAAACAAAATTTTATAGTAGCAAAACTGCTTTTGTTGTCAATAGCTCTTCATGAATCACAGGATAAAAAGTTCAAATCATATGGTGCTACTGAATATTTCAAAAGACAATGTGAAGAAAATACAGTAAATAAAGTACACAAAAATAAACATTGGAACAAAGGGTGTATACAACTGGTGAAACTCCTTACTCACTAACTATATTTACACCCTGTCTTAGAAAATGGAATATCAAATCTACTAGGTTACTATCAGTGAACACATCCTAATTGAAACTAATTCCTGCTTTTTACTAATCCTCTTGCTACACATATTGTTCATATAAGCAGAGCTTAATAGCCAAAGCCTACCTTATTTTTTCTATAGTGACAATGCAAAAATTTAAGCCTAAATTCTCTAACTTTATTTATTTTAAATTTACAAAGATTGAGAGATGCACCATCAATAAAAATGCTGCATCATAGCTATGTATTTAAATCCAGTGTCAAGAATGGACAGACATCCCATTTCACCTTCCTGCACAATGACACATATTGACCCTCCCAGAGGACTGAGTCATAGATTCCATGACTAAGTCCCCTGTGATGGGCAAAATGCAGGAAAGTGGAATGACACATATTTCCATGTTTGACACCGGTTTGTAATAAATAACTGGCCATTTTTTAATGATTGGTGCAAAGAGGGAGGTGATATTTCTGAGGAAGTACACATTATGCTGGTGTCAGCAGCCCGAGACATACTTGGCAGGTAAGAGCTGCTGGAATGGATGACCCTGGAGCAGTGCTGTGCTTTGTTCACTTTTATCCAATATTGCTTCATTGGTATAGTTCCATACATATATGACAGTCTTCGGGCATTACATTCTTCTACCTTTTTCATGACCACTGGTATTCACTGTTGTCACAGAGAAGGACCATATATCTATAATACAATTTACCTTTACTGGAATTATTGGTTATGTTCATCTTACCCTCTTCCTGGAAGGAGATATACTTTCACAAATGGGTCTGAATAACCATTGTTATCTCTGGGAACGAGATTCCTTGCTTGAAGTATATGGATAATGAGATTACCAAGATGTTTATCATAATTAACCTGAAGCTACAATAAAAGAGGACAAAATGTCATTGTGAAAAATATACAAATGCATAATCTCTTTTTCTCTGAAGAATAAACAGCTTCAAGTAAATCATTTTACAATAAAGGGCAGAGCAGTGGTATGCTACTCTGATGAGCATGCGGTCAAAACAAGACCTCTGCAGAGGGCTTCAGTCAGGATACCTGTGGAGATTTCTTTGCTTGTGTCCCTAAATGTTACAAGCAGACTTAGAAGACAGATGGTTAAGTTTTCTTTATCCAAAGATGAGTTATACATTTTGCAAAAGTTTACACTAAAGTTTGATACTATATTAATTACCCTTGGCTTAATCCTTCTTTTTAGAACTAGCAATACATTTAAATTGTAGCACTTAAAGATCATGTTATCCCCCAAAAAAAATCCCTGAATATCACCAAAATGTTTAATTCCACATATAAAGGTAAAAAAAAAAAGAAATTGAGATTTACATACCTGAATGTCACCAGTAATAGGGTGTGAATGTGGTTTTATTGCTTCAGTGGACTGAAAAAAGAAAAAATAGGTTTTCTCAGCTCTTAAAAATTTTGATCCATCTATGGTCAGCTTTGGACTACATAACTTGTGGGAACCTACAGGATGCCCATCATCAGTGACACAATGGATACGTAGTAATGCATTCATGGATATATAGTAAGGCATTAAAGATAAGGTTTTTTCATATAATGTAGTGCAAAACAGTAAAGTTCAGTAATGCAGAAAAACCTTGTATTGGTGTAGAACAGTTTAGTGTTCTTTGACTTTAAACGCACCTGCCATATTGTGCTACTTTTTACAACTGGCGATTCAGCATAAATGCTGGCATCACAAAGTTCCTGCAAGCAGTTTTATTATCAAAAGCTTCTTTCTCTGTGGAATTGGGGAACTGTTCAATCATGGATGCATTCTGAGCTGAGTCCTTGACTTCAGCTCCAACATTGAGTTCTGCCATGTCCCTCCATTGTCTCACAGTCCAGTACAGTGCTCATATCAGCTTATGCAAATCTCTTTAAGACAATATATATATTCCGGGCTGCCATTATTTTAAGCTGTAGTAAACCACCAGAAATAATTTGCAAAAAAAGTCCCCTTCAAAATAATAATATAATGTGCTAGTATGCATCACATACTAGCACATTATGAAAGACTTACCTTAGAAAGCAGCCCTCCAGTGGCATGCTGTGATTACTGACAGAGCTTCCATCCTCACCTTGTCCTCCTTCTGGGTTTGCGGGCTTCAGCTGTTTGACTGGCCAAGCCGCAATGATGTCACTTGCGTAGGAGTCATGGCTGAAGCATGTCTCTCTCAATGGAGGGCACAGTATTTACTGTACCTACAGGTAAGCCTTATTTTAGGCTTACCTATAGGTACAAGTAAACAAGGAACATTTACTACCACTTTAATGAACATATTTATTTACGTTATTAAAATATGTTTTGCTACATTGAATCATATTATTTCTTATAATATATACATACAGTCAGGTCCATAAATATTGGGACATCGACACAATTCTAACATTTTTATCTCTGTACACCACCACAATGGATTTGAAATGAAACGAACAAGATGTGCTTTAACTGCAGACTGTCAGCTTTAATTTGAGGTTATTTACATCCAAATCAGGTGAACGGTGTAGGAATTACAACAGTTTTCATATGTGCCTCCCACTTGTTAAGGGACCAAAAGTAATCGGACAATTGGCTTCTCAGCTGTTCCATGGCCAGGTGTGTGTTATTCCCTCATTATCCCAATTACAATGAGCAGATAAAAGGTCCAGAGTTCATTTCAAGTGTGCTATTTGCATTTGGAATCTGTTGCTGTCAACTCTCAAGATGAGACCCAAAGAGCTGTCACTATCAGTGAAGCAAGCCATCATTAGGCTGAAAAAACAAAACCAACCCATCAGAGAGATAGAAAAAACATTAGGCGTGGCCAAAACAACTGTTTGGAACATTCTTAAAAAGAAGGAATGCACCGGTGAGCTCAGCAACACCAAAAGACCCAGAAGACCACGGAAAACAACTGTGGTGGATGACCGAAGAATTCTTTCCCTGGTGAAGAAAACACCCTTCACAACAGTTGGCCAGATCAAGAACACTTTCCAGGAGGTAGGTGTATGTGTGTCAAAGTCACCAATCAAGAGAAGACTTCACCAGAGTGAATACAGAGGGTTCACCACAAGATGTAAACCATTGGTGAGCCTCAAAAACAGGAAGGCCAGATTAGAGTTTGCCAAACGACATCTAAAAAAGCCTTCACAGTTCTGGAACAACATCCTATGGACAGATGAGACCAAGATCAACTTGTACCAGAGTGATGGAAAGAGAAGAGTATGGAGAAGGAAAGGAACTGCTCATGATCCTAAGCATACCACCTCATCAGTGAAGCATGGTGGTGGTAGTGTCATGGCGTGGGCATGTATGGCTGCCAATGGAACTGGTTCTCTTGTATTTATTAATGATGTGACTGCTGACAAAAGCAGCAGGATGAATTCTGAAGTGTTTCGGGCAATATTATCTGCTCATATTCAGCCAAATGCTTCAGAACTCATTGGACGCCGCTTCACAGTGCAGATGGACAATGACCCAAAGCATACTGCAAAAGCAACCAAAGAGTTTTTTAAGGGAAAGAAGTGGAATGTTATGCAATGGCAAAGTCAATCACCTGACCTGAATCCGATTGAGCATGCATTTCACTTGCTGAAGACAAAACTGAAGGGAAAATGCCCCAAGAACAAGCAGGAACTGAAGACAGTTGCAGTAAAGGCCTGGCAGAGCATCACCAGGGATGAAACCCAGCGTCTGGTGATGTCTATGCATTCCAGACTTCAGGCTGTAATTGACTGCAAAGGATTTGCAACCAAGTATTAAAAAGTGAACGTTTGATTTATGGTTATTATTCTATTCTATTATTTTATCTGCTCATTGTAATTGGGATAATGAGGGAATAACAAACACCTGACCATGGAACAGCTGAGAAGCCAAATGTCCCATTACTTTTGGTCCCTAAACAAGTGGGAGGCACATATGCAAACTGTTGTAATTCCTACATCGTTCACCTGATTTGGATGTAAATACCATCAAATTAAAGCTGACAGTCTGCAGTTAAAGCACATCTTGTTCGTTTCATTTCAAATCCATTGTGGTGGTGTATAGAGTCAAAAATGTTAGAATTGTGTCAATGTCCCAATATTTATGGACCTGGCTGTAGGAACATAGGTTGAGAAAAGTGACCTGTAGCAGGGAATTTACACTGCAGCCTTAAGAGTAAATCTTTAACTCTTGATGGGAATTATTCTCATTGCCTAGAACAGTTGGGTGTCCACAGTCTAAAGAAGCTGGATATGGCCTAAGCTTTATTTCCAACTATAAAATAAACTTCAATAGTTGCCTCAAAATCAAAAGCAGACATAGGTAAACAGGATTTCATCTTTCACAGAGAGTTTTTTTTTTCATTTTCATTTGCAATCTCATAACATTTTATGTAGTGCAATGTGTAAGCATCTGATCTGATCTTTTTCCAAACAGTTATACAGATACCATCAGCATTTCATGAGCAACTACCAACAATGAGTACATGAAATACAGTTCATAGAAGTGTTAGATTATAAAATTATTTATTATGTTTTCTAATTACAAAACTAGAAAAAATATTGACTGATTGAGGACCCATCAATTGCACTAGTCTTCGTATTTAAAAAAACAATCATGTTTACCTTACTACTGTGTCTTTTCTTGCTTACTGAAGGGGAGCCAGGCTGGCCAGGGCTAGGGACTGCACTTGAGCCTGTTGATGTTGTTCCTGAATGAATATATGATCCTTTCTCCATTGCAGAAGACACAACAGAAGGTGTCTGCTGCTGGGAAACCTTTTGGAGTTCAGCTGCTAACTGTTTCGGATCCACTCCAGGTGACTTTGTTTTCTCTACTGTAAAGACACATAGAAGAAATAAGGATCTCATTGAAAAGGAGCATTGCATTATGATAGTCTCACCTATTCACAATTTTTCTAAATTTTAACTGTGAAAGCCTTACATTAATTGACCTTGCAGTGCAGTTATTTTCATTTTATTTACAAAAATCCATAGTTACTGTGGTAGAGTGTGTTGCCTTGCAACATTTAATGAGTGGAAAAGTCAAAACTAAAAATGAAATAAACCCATATATGGGCCCATGGGCTGATTGAAAAAACAATATATTGCCCTATTCACACAAGCAAGGTGGGTGGAGAAATCTTCCTCAATGTGCTTTTTTATTCTGACAGAGGGGACTCTGGGGACAGCGGAGAAAACACAGACTTCTGTTGAGTGGGAATGGCCAAAGATGGTTGAAGATTTGGCCGGTTCAGTAGGGACCGAATTTCAATCCATCTATGGTCAGTTTCACTTCTGTAGGTTTACCAGTCCATTGCCAATGTATGAAAAAAAGCCAACTCTTATATATGGTTATATTTTTCCCTTAAGTTTTTGAAATATAATATGGCCATTTCAATAATAAATTCACCCCCCCCCCCAAATCTTTGATCTCTGGCTGAGATATCTAAGCAAGAGTATAGCCTTTCAGTTACTAATCTACCAGTAAATTGTCTGGAAAATAAAAATGGATCCAAATTTCATTAATGATGTAAAAGGAAAGCACATAATATGCCTTGCCCCCTGTAATGTACCCTGCTCCCGCATAATGTGCCTTGCCCGCTGTAATGTGCCCTGGCTCCACATAATGTGCCCTGCTTCCATGTAATGTACCCTGCTTTCTCCTCATGTAGTGTGTCCTCCTGAACCCCTGTACCCTGCCCTGTTGCCCTCGCACACACTGTTTATAACAAGTTGGACCCAGAATGGAGCATCTATGCAGAAAAAGAAAGCAGACATTTCACAATAAATAGTTAAGTTTTAATATTTATTCTTTTATTTAATGCTATTTCTAAAAATAATTGTTGTTATCAACAACTCTCTGATCATGCCAATGTTCCATGAACTGTAGATGTGAAAATTATTTCAGGGGTTCCCCGAGATTTAAAACTTTTTGGCAGGGGTTCCTCAAAGGTAAAAAGGGGTTGAGAAACATTGGCCTAACACATTACCCCAGTTTTGAGGGAAAATGGACCTGAATTCTGCTGTGCTCAGGCAGCGTTAAGAGTCCTGTCATATTCACCTCTTGCATAACCCTTCTGGAGCTCTGCCAGCAAGCCAATGAAGAGTCACATTGCGTCCGAGCACATCACCCCTCCCATCTACAGGACAATATTATCAGTGCTGGGCCTACAAGGAAGGGTGCTCCACAGGACAACATTAACAGTGCAGTAGATGAGGGGTTAATAGTGTCGAAGCAGTGCAGCGGTTGTCATCTCATGTCTTGGTCTGCGATTGGTATGTACTGTATTTGCTCTATCAGCCTAATACAGAAGATAGAGTTACGGGTTACAGCACATCTAAATTAGCCCCACTCCTGAGCTGCCAATGGTTGCCTTACCCATCCCCTAGTTAATTTTTATTGCTAGAATTAGTTTTCCCATTATGGGTTAAGTTTCATGTGTAAGTTTCCTAAGGCCTCACAAACCGTAGAGCCACCTCTGTGGAAGAACTAAATGTGCTGCCTTAAAAAGCCAATCTTTGTTTTGTTTGAATATAGTGGGGAATGTTTTTCCTGTCTGTGTCCCGGTAGGAGATTTTTCTTCATGTATTGGAGACAACAATAATTCAAAGAAGTCAAAGTAAAGAAAATTCTATTTTCAGCAGGAGCACAGACAGCAATAAAAAACTGACAGAGGTTCTATCCCTTCTCCACACTATTCCAAACAAGAAAAAATGGCTTTAGCCTTACACTTAATGTACCAAATCAATTTATCTCTTTTCATTTTTAATGTTTCTTAAGTAGATGAAAATTACAAGTCGATGACCTCTTACTAGGAAATATTTCTTTCAATCAGATATGGGAATTTGTGATATTTTGTATACATGTGTGTGTGTTTTATCCACTTCAGCTCTTACTCATGTATAACTCTTATAGCCCCTTAAATATTTTACATTTCATGTATGGACTTATTGATTGTGAAATCATTTTAGTAGATAATAAAGATAATAAGGTAACACATACAGTATATCCTTTTTCAGGACAAGCAAATGCCTTCTTTTGCACTATTTCAGAAAAATAATAGTGAAGGGGAAAAGGGAGTAATTAGGGCAATATGGGTTAACCAAGAATTAATATGCTTTTAAATAGGTACAAATAAAAGAAAAAAAAAGACAGTATTTCACTTGCGAACTGATACACTGTTTTTTTTATATAAATATAGCCTGCAAACAGTGGGGGAGATTTACTAAAACTGGTGCTCTCAGAATCTGGTGCAGCTGTACATGGTAGCCAATCAGCTTCTAACTCCAGCTTGTTCAATTAAGCATTGGCAATAAAACATGGAAGCTGATTGGTTTCTATGCAGAACTGTGCCAGATTTTGAACTCACCAGTTTTAGTAAATAATCCCCAGTGTCTGTGGGCTTTGTTTTATTACAGTGGGCAGTCAGTGCTGTTGTGACACAGACTGGGACTTGACAGTCAAAATGCTAGTCGCTTACAGTGATTTCTGATACCTCTGAAGAGAGAGGAAAACCAGGTACCAAGTGACTTCAAAACATTTCTTTGAGATCATATCTGGTATGCCCAAGGTCCATAGATAGTTAGCAAATGGTAAATGTCTAAATAACATCTAAAAAAAATTATTTCTTTTTTCTACTGCTAATTTCAGATAGTAAAATACAGAAACATCAAAGTCATGTGACTTACCAGCCTTTCCTGGTTCATGCAGCTCTAAGTTCTGAGGAGTTTCAGAATTTGATAGCATGTTAATATCTCTGGAAAACATTGGAAAAGAAAATGAGACAAATGAATGAAATGCTACACAGTTCAACTAGTCATTGTGCTTTATCTTTATTTACATTGCATTGAAAGGCTAAATGTAGACTAATGTTTTCGTTCAGCAACATTATTACTCTTGATTTTCTCCATAGCTGTCAGTGTCAGTGCACAATAATGCAAAGACAGGACAAGCTTAGAGATAAAAGATGTGGCAAACTAAAGGCCTAAAGTGGTTGTAAGGCTCCAGATTTTTACCTTCATGCTTTCTATTCATCCTAATACTTACCTGAACCCCATCCTGATCCAGCGATATGCACAAGAGCCTTGGCTCTCCTGGGCCTTTTTATCCATTTAGCTGAAACAGCAGTGGTAGTCATTGGCCCCCCCTATTGTCAATCAAAGCCAGTGAGCCAATGAGGAGACAGCAGGGCTGAGCCAAGCCGCGCTCTGTGTGTGAATGGACACATGGAGCAGTGGCTCAGGAGCGAACTTGCTTAGGTGTCCCCATAGCAAGCTACTTGCTGGGGGGGGGGGCACTTGGCAGGAGAAAGGGGCTTAGAGTGCCAGCAGGAGAGCTGAGAAGAGGAGGATTGGGGCTGCTTTGTGCATAACCACTGCACAGAGTAAGTAAGTATAACATGTTTGAAAAAAACCCACAAGCCTTTAATATCACTTTAAGCATGGCATACACATTCAGATTTTTTTATTAACCATTGGATTGAATGAAAAAAAAAATGACAGATTCCCACCTCAACACAAACAATTTGGATGCAGCGATCTCTGATAGGGGGACTCACCCCACCAGAATACACTGATCAGGGCTTGCAGCCATTGGCTGCAAGGGCTAATTGAATGTTGGTTTTCCAGCAGCACCATTTGACAGAAGTTATTAGACAGACTTCTGGGGAACAGACAGCAGTACCCATGTACCGAATGTGAGCTGGTTCCATTTTTAGTATATTTGTATTGGGCGTTAGTGTTAAACATTTCTCATAATTTGTTAACAAACTAGTATAGGTTCTTAATCATAACTGGAACAAAGGAAGATGAAGATAAACTCACAGTCTTACACATATTTCTGCTTCCCCACTTGATTGACTAATGATACTTTGAACTTCTTCATATGTCTTTGCAGTTAATGGGAACCCATTCCATTCTAAAATTTGCATTCCTGTAAAAAATGGTCACATGTTGTTATTTAATTTAAAATCTACATATAAAATATATATTTTTGCTGCTTTGTCTGTGTTGTTCATTTACATATATTTATTATACTGATTATATATGGGCAACTCGTTGAACATTAAAGATCTGATGACTGCCAGCTGCCAAAATGACCACCAAAAAGCACCTGCAGCCATTAGGCCAGACTGTTAGTATATACAGTCAGGTCCATAAATATTGGGACATTGACACAATTCTAACATTTTTGGCTCTATACACCACCACAATGTATTTGAAATGAAACTAAAAAGATGTGCTTTACCTGCAGATTGTCAGCTTTAATTTGAGGGTATTTACATCCACATCAGGTGAACGGTGTAGGAATTACAACAGTTTGCATATGTGCCTCCCACTTGTTTAGGGACCAAAAGTAATGGGACAATTGGCTTCTCAGCTGTTCCATGGTCAGGTGTTTGTTATTCCCTCATTATCCCAATTACAATGAGCAGATAAAAGGTCCAGAGTTAATTTTAAGTGTGCTATTTGCATTTGGAATCTGTTGCTGTCAACTCTCAAGATGAGATCCAAAGAGCTGCCACTATCAGTGAAGCAAGCCATCATTAGGCTGAAAAAACAAAACAAACCCATCAGAGAGATAGCAAAAACATTAGGCGTGGCCAAAACAACTGTTTGGAACATTCTTAAAAAGAAGGAACGCACTGTTGAGCTCAGCAACACCAAAAGACCCAGAAGACCACGGAAAACAACTGTGGTGGATGACCGAAGAATTCTTTCCCTGGTGAAGAAAACACCCTTCACAACAGTTGGCCAGATCAAGAACACTCTCCAGGAGGTAGGTGTATGTGTGTCAAAGTCACCAATCAAGAGAAGACTTCACCAGAGTGAATACAGAGGGTTCACCACAAGATGGAAACCATTGGTGAGCCTCAAAAACAGGAAGGCCAGATTAGAGTTTGCCAAACGACATGTAAAAAAGCCTTCACAGTTCTGGAACAACATCCTATGGACAGATGAGACCAAGATCAACTTGTACCAGAGTGATGGGAAGAGAAGAGTATGGAGAAGGAAAGGAACTGCTCGTGATCCTAAGCATACCACCTCATCAGTGAAGCATGGTGGTGGTAGTGTCATGGCGTGGGCATGTATGGCTGCCAATGGAACTGGATCTCTTGTATTTATTGATGATGGGACTGCTGACAAAAGCAGTAGGATGAATTCTGAAGTGTTTCGGGCAATATTATCTGCTCATATTCAGCCAAATGCTTCAGAACTCATTGGACGCCGCTTCACAGTGCAGATGGACAATGACCCAAAGCAGACTGCAAAAGCAACCAAAGAGATTTTTAAGGGAAAAAAGTGGAATGTTATGCAATGGCCAAGTCAATCACCTGACCTGAATCCGATTGAGCATGCATTTCACTTGCTGAAGACAAAACTCAAGGGAAAATGCCCCAAGAACAAGCAGAAATGGAAGAAAGTTGCAGTAGAGGCCTGGCAGAGCATCACCAGGGATGAAACCCAGCGTCTAGTGATGTCTATGCGTTCCAGACTTCAGTCTGTAATTGACTGCAAAGGATTTGCAACCAAGTATTAAAAAGTGAAAGTTTGATTTATGATTATTATTCTGTCCCATTACTTTTGGTCCCTTAACAAGTGGGAGGCAGATATGCAAACTGTTGTAATTCCTACACCGTTCACCTGATTTGGATGTAAATACCCTCAAATTAAAGCTGACAGTCTGCAGTTAAAGCACATCTTGTTCATTTCATTTCAAATCCATTGTGGTGGTGTATAGAGCCAAAAATGTTAGAATTGTGTCGATGTCCCAATATTTATGGACCTGACTGTATATATTCTGAAACTATAGAAATGTCGCAGTACACTAGAAGATCCTACATCTACATCTTAACTTGCAACTTATCATGTATTATTACCGCTTCGTTTTCAATCCAGTTATTCACAATGTGAGAGTTTATTGTATCAATGGCAAACTACCCCATCTTATCCAAAAAAGCAATACAAAGAACAGAATACCATAGCAATAAGTCAGATTTCCTTTTGATGCAGTCAGACAATTAATGTAGCTTTTTGACTGCCTATTATGGGTTACTGCACTTTGCATGCTTCTTATTGAATAAGCCCATGGGCAGAACTGGTTTAGTGCAGGTGCTCTGGTGTTTAACCACTTCACGCCGGCACCTCCCGGCCCTTTAAGAGTTTCAGAAACTGGGAGGCGGGTGGGGTTTTAAGGTCATGTGACCACCGTGATTCACCGTCACGGCAGTCACATGATGGGAAAAGGTCCCGATCGCAAGGGGAGATCGGGACCTTTCCGGGAGCAATAGACATATGTGCTGGGAGTGCGCAGGGCAGCGCTCTCAGCACATATGTATTTTCTAATGGCACACAAATATGCGGCTGCTCGGCGTCAAGGCCCAGACGCCGAGAGGCCGCATATTTGCGTGTGCTTGGCATCAAGGGGTTAATGTGCACAAAGTGCAAAATCTCACATGCTTATTCTTTGATGGCAGGTACAATCCAACATGTTACAAGTCATGAGAGTGAATATTATGTTTTAATGCATGCTTTAAAGAGGCACTGTCACCTTGTCCATGCAGGGCAAAGTGACAGTGTCTCTGCAAATAACCCACCACCACAACCTCCTAATACTAATCTTACCAGTGCCCCCCCACCACTCGATCCACCTCAGCAGCTGTCCACAATACCTGGCATTTCCAGATATGAAGGAACATGTAACCTATTGTGTGAGACTACTTTGGTCTAGAAGCCAATATCTAGGCCTACAAACTATTATATGCTGGGTTAGTGATATCACTGCTCCTCCAGGTCACCAACACCATTCATGTTAGTGCCAGCTGCACAGGAGGAGCAGTGGGGGAGCACTGGTAAGGTGAATATGGGGGGGTTGGGGGGGCCTTTGTAGAGACCTGTTTTATAAATTACTGCTTTAGGCAACAGTGCAGACATAAGCTAGGTGTACTTAAACAAAAGCTAAAAGGTGTATACAACATTTAGGTGATGCAATTATATTAAACAATTGAATCCTACAGATGTAGAATTATACAATCCACGAAACCCATAGTGCACCATGATATAGTGTATCTTCAGTATGTCTGAAGGAATGTGATTTCTTAAAGTAGCTTTTTTTCCACTTCTAAAATTTAAAGCATTGAACGGTAAATTCAGACTCAACACAAAGCTGCATGTAAATAATAGGCAGGTCTAAATAAATAATATTAGATTATTAGGAGTTCCATAAGAAGTATGCATTAGATTATCAAGAAATCTATAGTTAATTAGTAAAAATACAGATATAAACAGAAATAGTATAAATACAATTTAGAAAGCAGAATTGTCATCTTAAATTGTATTCATGTATGCTGCTTTAAGAAGGGATGTCACATTCTCAGTTTTCACACAGCAAGCTGAGATATTTCATAAGAGCACACAAGGAATGTCCACTGCAAAATAACACAATCATCACTTACAAAAACTAAAATGGATCTTCGTACATGTTTTGCCGTATTCCTGCGCTGTGGCATAACAAAATCCAAAAAATAGTATATTGATATCGTTGAATTAACCTGCGCCACCTGCTGCAAAATAACGTCATAAAACACAGGGTAGAGCCCGAAGTATAGTCTACATAACTATAAAAATTCGGAATCCATGAATCCAGATATATCCATAAATAAATATATTAAGAAAACAAACACAATATGAAAATACAGTTTTCTGGTGCAGAATGCAACATGGGTACACATACTTGCAACAAAACACACACATATT